GCTTCTGGCTTGTGGTAGTTTTCACTTTTCTGAAAATTTGGCCTCTTGGTAGAGGCATCTTGGGAAATGTCTGTCTTCTTTGTGGAGATGATCTGAATCTAAGAGGACAGACTCAATTAGCCCTGGAAAAAAAAAAAAAAAAAAAAAAAAAAAAAAAGAGTGGATTGCACCAGTTGGTTGGATTGATTGTCTGGGCACAAAAATGACTGCACTGGTTTGGGGTGACTCATTCTGCCACCTCAGAAAGTCTATATCTTGCATGTTGATTTGGGACAAGAAACGAACTGGGTGGTAGTGATTCCGCTGTAATAACCTAGTTGTTAATTAACAGGAAGGCCAGATCACACAGGCATGCCATTTGTACAGCTTTGACAGAAAGCTGCAGTTTAATACTCTCCAGGTCTGTTCCTCGCAGATCCTGGGGAAATGGGCTGGGCAAAAAAAGAACAAACGCATGCCCACTAAGGTCTGAATGGCAGAGAGGGTGCTTGCCTGTCAGTCACACCTGAGAGCAGGGCATTGACCAGAATAGGCGTGGCCACCGCATGGGTGAGCAATCTGAAATACAAAGGAGCCCTTTCCCCTTTTCTCTTGGTGCTCACACCTTTCAGGGCTTTCATGTTCTCCACTCGCCCACATGGCACACAATGGACCCCAGTGGACTGATGGACTGGAATTAGCTGGTGTTGTGCTGGATTCAGCTTCACTATGGGACAGACACTGTTCACACTGGCTTTGCTTTTGGGTCTGCCGAATCCCCAGCTGCACATTTTGTTAGGACTGGTGTAAGGGAAAGGGCACTTTGGGAACTGAGGGATATAGGTCTAAGCAAATAAAAATCATTCATTCTTCCGTGTGAGCCTTAGAAAATTCTTTTCCTTAAGATAGCATAAGAACCCCACTGGCAATGGAGAAAGTCCACCTATCCAATTCTTCGATAACACATCCAGACCTATTTGGAAACATATATTTGCATTTATGCCATGTGCAACTACTTTGCACAGTGGCTTTCACATAATAGGTTTGTAGTAACACGAATAGGACTGGATTAAATCTATCAAATCTAAATAGCTTTACTTCCTGTTTTTTCAATGTCAGTAAAGTCATTTCCACTCAAGGGAGCTCTTTTATGCCATCTCATGGGGGTTGGGTATCTTCTGCTAAGTTTCGTTGAAATAATAACTATGCCCATAATTGCTAGCTATTTATTAATGTCTATCACAGGATTGGGACTATACTCTATTTTTAGAAATAAAAACACTGCAGAAGAAAGCCAATTTTTAATAAGCCCATTGTATTTTATCGATTATCATGAAATGTATATTTAAGGGTAAAACCCATGTTTACCAGCACAGAAGTTCTACGTTCTGCTTTATTGACTATGCTCATAATGCAGAATGTGTAACACCATTCCAAAAATTCTGACTATATAGTACTAATAGTTTGTTATCCAATTGTGTGGCTTAGAAAGCATTTTGTGGGATAAATAGGTCTTCTCATCTTTTTTTTTTTTTTAATTGATGAATCAAAGTACCATTCAGTAGAGTCTATTTTTAAAAGTATTTATTCAGTTCACAACCAATCCCAAACTAAAGGAAATGGAAAATAACATAATTAAGAAAATGACAAATTGCCTGTAGTTTGATATGTATGAGAAAGAAAGGAGGTTGTACAATTTTCTAATATATGATTAAATCAAAACCCGTGCATAATTTCTGAGTCATTAAAAGTGACAACTCTTCATGATGCACCAAAGGAATACATTGACTGTATGAGAAGAATAGAAGCACATGGATATAAGGTATTTGTCTTGTTTTGAAATAGCCCTGTTGGTGTAAGTGGTGCGAACCAGGACAGACAATGGTTAAAGGAAGTAGCAGTAGACAGCAGCAGGACCTGCACTAATGGCTGCCAGGAGCCACGGCCTTGGGGAAATAGGCCAAGGTGTTCACTTTCCCATCAGTAAGGGGAGCAGGTGCACGGGGTGCTCCGTGGGGGCCCAGACAGGAAGGAAGGTCCCTAGAGACTTACAGCCTCGGCTGGGCTAGAAGAGTGGGTGGAGGCATATACCTGAGCCATCCCTACCTTTACAATCCAGTGAATGTGACGGAATGGGACATGGCAGAGTTAAAAAAAAAAAAAAAAAAAAAAAAAAGACCCAGCTTTAAGCCTCAGATTGACAAACTTGTGGGCAAGTCCCACCTTCCTGGTATCTTATTTCCCTTATTTGTAAAACGTGGCAAGATGGTCTAGATATCTACAGTTTTTCCCGGTTCCAACATTTGAAAACTTCATATTTTAATGGGATTTTAGAATAGCAGAAATTTTAATCTAAATTGAATATATTTTCCAGATAGAAAACTATTAATTTAAATGCAAGATGAATTATTGTTCAAATGCAGTAATGTATTAGGAACAATTTGGAGACAATTAAATTTCAAATTAATAGATTCAGCATGAGGACTATTTCTCTAACACAAAACAATTATTAATAAGTAAATTCTAAGTGTAATAATTACCTTTGATTTTCTTTTTTTGATGCAACACCTCTCATTTTGCTATTATAGTGTTTGCACTGTTTACACACAGCAACTAAATCTGTTCCAAAAAAGTGCTCACAGAGACATCCATAAAGAAAAACAAATATATTGTGGGTTCAAATAGTCTCAAATAGCAGAAAAGCAGTATTTTGTTGGTTTAGGACATCACTTAGTATTGTTTTTAGACAGCCACACATTTCGGCAAAGTTTGACTAGCAAAACTTAATGTGTTTTATGCATTAATGAACTCAAGATAAGTTTTTAGAAAAATTCAGTTCAATAGGTGAGGGAGTAAGCATTTTCAAATTTTATAGTTAAGACTTCAATGGTATGAGAGCAAGTTTAGAAAACATTTTTATTAGACAAATTATTTAGACAAATTATACACAGAAAGCTCTGCCACTCATATCTGAGGCCTCCAAAAAGTGTTTTGTGTATTTGTATAATAGGCAATACATCAAAATAGGCCTATTTTAAATATTGTACATGGTTAACAGTTTGATAGCTAAAATCACTGAAACATCTGGTATGTCCCTATATAGTTTTTTGTAAAGATTTTTTTTTCTTTTTTTCTTTTTTTTTTTTTTTTTTTTTTAGTTTTAAAATCAGAGTCGTGGATGAGATCATGAGTGTTACAAGGGAAAACAAGTTGTGCATGCACTTAAGTACTTGTTACCCTGGAAACAAAATGGTTTTTGCATGATAAGAAATTTTTCTGCCTTACACAGTAGACAATATTTGAAGATTTAGTACAAAAACGGTGACAGTACAAGATGCTCCCCAGAACAGAATTAGCATCAAAATATAATATACCTTAAGAATATACCTTTTTAATTTCTTCTAAAGCAAATCACACAGGTTGGTTCCTACGTCAAGCCTAGCCACAGAATGAATTAGAGTAAAATAAGTGTATGGCCGCTAAGAACACAGGATCAGTTCTTGCTTCCTACTTAACACGTCTTAATTTAAGGATTACAAACAAAGTTCATTGTACATCTCTAACAGGTAAGAACGCTACTTTAAAAGGGCTGTGCGCAAAGAGGCACTGTTTTTGCTGTCATCCTTCTATACACTTGGCACTAATGTAAAAAATACGTGACTCCTCCAAGTAGAACAGGATAAAAAAAGGGGTTTTAGTAGAGAGCCCTGTATGGTTCTTATGTTTTCTTTTTTTTTTTTTAGGATAATGTACGACAGTAATTAAGGCCACATCAATATGTCCTCAGGGCTCCCACCTCTCCCCAACGACAGTGGTGTCCATTGGCTTACTGCTTTGGAAGAGACTTTATCAACCTTCAATGATCTACGTTTAAACTCTCGCAGAGCTCTATGTGCTGTTGCGGATGTGGTTCGGCTCATAGCTTTCCCCATGTAGATAGTGAATCAGAAGTGAAATCATTACCAAGGTTAGCTTTACACACCGCTGAATAACAAATGCAAAACCTAGTCGGCTGAGTTACATCTAGGAACAAATATTGAATCGCTCTGGATGTTTTAATAACAAAAGTATAAAATAGTCTCTGTTGGCGAACAATGCGAATCAGAATATCATTAAAGCAACCTGCCTTTTCTAACGGAAAAGACCCCCTGCACTATACATAGTTCCTGTATACAAGGCTTTTCTTTGTTTTAAAACTAAAGCTTTATTATTAAATGAATTGCAATAGCAATGGCCGCCTTTCAATATATATATATATATATACATTATATAGGTGCATATATATGTATATATATGAGATACTAATTTATTTAACACAATAGAGGCTTCTGCCGTATGATAAAGTTCACTGTACATAAGAAAAAAACTTTTAATACTGTACAATCACATAAAGGTCATATGCACTGTTGCAGTGCAAGAGTAATTTTAACTGTAGTCTTGACTGGCATATTAATGGCTTTTTTTGTAATCCTACAAAATTGCATTCTCATATTATGTGGCCTGAATGGTCTTTAAAGTACTTTATAGACACTGCAAGGGTTGCCTCTGGTCCACAGTTAAAGGACACTCAACAGCAGTGTGGAGCCTTGTATGGATGCAGCAGAAGAATGTGAAAGACTGAAGTTATTGCAATTATATCTTCCAAAAAAATAGAGAACTGTTACGTAAGAGGCCTTGATGTAAAATTAATCCTGCATATCTACTTTTAGTATTCTCAGTGCACATTTCCTATACTTGAAGTACAGTATATGAAAAGCGGACTAATTGGATCCTAGCATACTATATTCTGGGGGAACAAATTGAGTAATGAATAATAGCAGGAGGAAATGTATCAGCAGAGAGGGAGGGAGGGAGGGAAAAAGGAGGAAGGGAGAGAGAGAGAGAGAGAGGAGCTAGAATTGTTACTAATAATCCCGATTAAAAAGGAAAATGTTACATCCATGTTAGTCCCACAACATTACAGTCGCTCCTCGCAAAGGGAGTCCTACGAAAGAAACAGTGAAGAGATTTTTGTCTGATGCTCATATGGAGGTGCCTCGGTCTGGATCGCTACCCAGATTGAGCCCCAGGGTAGGAGTTGGCTGGTAAGGAATAGATGACATTGTTTTTATAGGACTCCTGAAAAAGCCCCCGTTAGGTGCCCTGTGCCTAAAAGGGCCAGTTCGGTGCTCAGGCACGTTGCCAAAAGCGAAACCAGAGGCAGCTTTAGCTGACAGTGTGCGGCTAAGAGTCTGGATCTGCTCTGGGATAAAGGTGGTGGTGGTGATATGAGTGTTCCTGAAATCACTGATTTGCTCCAGTGCTTGTCGTGTTGGCAAAGTGTCAATGTCCAGAGGGGTCAAGTCAATTGACGAGGTGGAAAACTGTTTATGGGGGCTGTCGTCATCTGTGCACAAGCTATTTACACGTCTATGGAGGTGCTCCAGGTCAATTTCCTTGTCATCCTGGAGATGAAGAAAAAGAAGACAAGGTTCTCATCAGTACTAGCTTCCATGGTTAAAGAAAAAAAGTAGTTCAGCAAACATGATAGGTAATGAACTGAACTTTGGGGTTTGTTTAACAAATACTTATTGAGCACCTAATATGAGCCAGGCACTAGGTTCTGGGGGAGGGGGTACCAATAGGATTCTGAGATAAGGTTATCTATAATAAATATTTTTTCTTGCAGCTCAAGTTCTAAAATAAGCATATGCCACATGCAGCTACAAAATATGGAAGCAGTAGATGGGTGATTGCTTTCTATAAGAGCAGCGACAGACCCAGGCAAAATTGTACAAATAAAAAGTATGGTTTTGGCAACTTATTCCCCCTCTTAACCTGCTCTTCTTTTCACAGGATGTCTTATTTCAGGCTTATTTTATTCCAAGTTAAATATTTGTTCCTTTCCACTACTCACTCCTAACTCTAACTTTCCATTCTTAGAGATAAGTGGTATAATATGCTGATATGCTAGTTCACACTAGAGGGCTGGTGATTATTATAATGTTATTTCTCCTTAGGCTAAAGATATGTAAGATTGTTTGGAGAGAGTAACATCCAACACAAGAGAATCAATTTCTAATTGAGGGACTTCAGATACTCAAGCTACCTCGTACCTGAGGCGATCCTGTGAGGCCAGTGGGACTCTTAGAGACCTGACAAGTGAATTGCAGTTTTAGTTTAGGGTCAGGCATATGCTACATGGTCTCTAAATAAAATATGCTTTGAGCTAGGAAAATGGAGTCTTAGTAAAAAGGTGCTTAATAAAGAAAAAGAAAGTAAAACCTCAGATTTCTGGCGTTGAAATCAATCTATAAATCCCTTAAGATTTTCACTAAATGTGAGCGTTAAAGCCCAATATTTAAAAAATAAAACTGGCAAGAAATAAAATTGTTCTCTGTATCAATCTTATTTATAGTCAGGTTCAAGAAATCAAATTTTCAAGGATCTAAAAATATCTATTAATCATAAAATAAAATATTTGTTCATAAAATCTGGATTAGCTGTCATGAGTTAGAATGGAGTATGTGTTTTTTTTGTTTTTGTTTTTTTTTTTACTTTTTATTGTGCTATTATAGTGCTCCTAAGTGAAAAATATTTTGAGTGCATCAGTGTTTTCCTTCTCCTTTCTCATTTCAAAATCCAATAAAAATATCCATTAATGCAGTGTTATCACTGAGACTTTAGAGGGTTGAGAGATAATTTTATGGTTCCCACAGCAACTATAATGTAGTCATCCATCAACAGATATAATAGTGCAAAAATTTAATATCATATATAGTAATTCAACATATAAGGAGCTTGGGGAGTTCTTAATTTCCAGATTTTTGAGAATATGGAGTCTCAGCTCTAATGTTACGTTAATGTGGTCTTTTGCATTGAATCAGTGTCAGTAGAGGTACCAGAAGCTTATTCCACAATGAAAATACTACAGTAAAACCTGATTAGTTTTTAGTTCATCCTTCACTAATGCAGAATGTATTACCATTCAGACAAGTAGGAAGCAAAGATTTATCTTTGCTAAGCCAGGCTTTTCCTTATAAATGGTGCTGATCAATTTTGCATATAAAGTGGTAGGAAGGAATGCTTAGACTAGAAAACAATATGTTTGAAAGACTACATTAACATGCAAAACTTTGTGTGCAAGCGAGAAGCCATTTTTATTTGTGCATTAAAGCAGGTCCTGTCAGGACTTGCTCTAGGCATCAGTTAGCCAAGGTCAAGTTATAGAAAATTTAAACTCTCCCTTGAAACTACACAGCAAATCAGACCACTCAGCAAATGTAGGTTGTTTTCTTTTCAATTTGTGAAGCTTTCATGAATATGGTTTTATTATTTTAAACATTTCCACATGTTTGGTTCAGTGGAAATAAGATAGTTATAAATCCCATAATTTTTTATGAAAACAAGACACATATTCTCTCAGATCTCTGGAAAAATTTTAATATGGACTTGGAGTTTACTCTGAAGAGTAAAAGAGAAATATTGAATTTTAGATGATTCCATGATGTGGATTTATTAAGCTTAGGGTCATCAGAACTAAAAACATATCCATTTCTCTTAGGTCTACATACAGATAAAGGGCAGTAGTCACTGGCGGTAAAGAGAAAGATCTAATTATTTTACTGTAAAATTGGATTTCTTAGGCCAGATCTTAGAGACCCCAATAATTTAGGCATAAGTTAAACAAGTCATGGCAATAAAAAGAACTGGTCAAAGCAATCACAGCCTTTAACAAGCCATTGACTTAAATTCTATCCTGAGATTTGGGAGAATTTCAAAGCCTGTTAAGGCCCATAACACTATCAGTCTTTCAAATACTATAATATGTAGTCTCCTCTTCATCTATCTGGGATGTCCTAAAATAAAAATTGATGTTGGCCTTACCAATTTTCAGGCTTCACAAATTTATTTTCACTTTTCAAGACAAGAAGCAACAAGGACCCCTACCCCCGCCCCCCTAGGCCCCAACCCTTTCTCCCCTTCCTTGCAATCATCCTCCCCGCAGACACAGCCTGCTCCGTGGCTTAGCTCACTGCCCAAGCTCCCAGTCAAGTACCTCTTTGGACGGGACCCTGGAGCCTTTCCTCTTGTTCCACCAGGTCTCCAGCATGGCTATAAAGCAGGAGAGGACAACCCCAGCGGCCAGGATGCAGAAAACCCCCGCAAAGCTCTTTATGTCCAGGGCACCTCCTTTCTGCTTTGTGTCCACTGAGGAGTACAGGTCGCACTGGCCGTTTTTGGGCCACCACTTGTGCTTCAGGATGTCCATGTCGCCATTCTGCTGAAGCTCCAGGATCCTTGAAGGGGTGAAGAACACAATCATGTGTTACAGATAATACTGCCTTGGGCCACAGCACGTCCACTTATAACCTCCCTCTCAGAGGGGGTGGTTTTCAAGGAGAAAGAATATAGAGATTAGCCTGCAGACCGAACGCTAGGGCACTAAACACATTATAGCTATGATTCTGTAGACAATTGTGCCAAAGGTACTGTCCCTCCTCCTCCTTGCCCCTCTTCTTCTTCTTCTTCTTCTTCTTTTTGTTTTGCTTCATTCTATAATCCTAAGTATCTCCCCCACGTCCCAGTTTGTCGCGTGTTTTCACAATTACATTTCAGAGGAGCTGATTTTATGTGGATTCACGCTGCTGCCGGCCTATGTTCCTTCCCTACGTGCAGAACGCCGCTCTGGGTCTTGAATGCTTTTATGAACAACGAGCTGCCGCTTAGAGCGAGACGCTGGCATAATGTCGCCCAGCATATGCTACACACAAAGAAATTCAATTAAAAAGACTTCTATTATTTAACACAGTGTGGGAGAAAGCCTTGGGACAAGTTTGAAGTTGAGAAAAATGTGTCATTTTTTTTTTTTTTTTTTTTTTTTTTTTTTTGCTTTTCCACACAACTGATCTAGTTTCCCTTTCAGTGCCAAAGGGGAAATCATCTCACCTTGCAGAACAGGAAGGAAAGTTGACCGGAGGCTTTCAGAAGTAGTTACATTCAAATAAGAAATATCCTTTTTTCTTCTTTTCTTTCCCCCAGAGGCTGGGGGTAGATAGCTGCAAAGACTGCAGCTTTTTTAAAGTGTGATTTTCACAGGGGCTTTATTCTGGATTCCAAATACTTGTTTGGTGCTGGCTGAGACTTGCCTAGCTCTGCCTGCCCGCCCCTCTTGCCTTCTCCCCCCCCCCCCCAACTACACCCTTTCTCACAGGGTGACATCTGTCAGGGCCAAAGCCACAAGCCTGTCCAGAGTGAGCACCATCCCCCGGGGTCCCTAGAATTTCTTGCCCAAAGAGCTGAGTGCTCTCCCAGGGCTCTTGAAGGCCCATGCCCATGTATTGTCTCCTGAGAGCAGATCTCACAGCCATGTGGGCACACGGTGTGTAGGGGTGTTTGGGACTGTGGACAGAGCTTGGCTGTGCGTGCTCAGGTGCACACACCTTGGCGTGAGTGAGACCCTTCCCTGTGCAGGACAGAGCCGGATGTGGGAGGGAGGGGATTAGAGTCTGAACTCCCAGCTAGTCATGAACTAGAAACTCAGACCTGGCCTCCTAGGGATGCGGAAGGTGTTGTTGCCAAAGGAAGGGGATAGACATACTTTATCTCACAGTGTTTAGATATGTCACTTTCACATACTTAAGACTTCAATTATGTGGACCCATATTTATACTCCTGCCCTGGGTCTTGGATTATTTGGGGAGAGACTACTTAAAAATTGCAGAAAGGAAAACTATGCCTATATGGATAGAGTAAATCACTCACTTTCAGTGATATTTTACCTATTTCATGTCATTCATGGCTCCATAAGAATGAGCTAAAATATAATATTGGGCAGAGATCAACATTCAACCTGAGTTAAACAAGAGTAAGAAAACCCCGGGTAGAGTTGAATATCCATCATCCACCTTTGGACATTCCCATAGCCTCACCACAGCGCCCCCTGCTGACACTCCAGGAGCCGCCTCACAACCTGGACTTCTTTCTTAGGAAATGGAGTTGTCTCAGGTTCTGTTGCTTAAAAACAGCAGTTAATTTGATGAATTAAATTTACTAAAATGATTATAAATAATAATGGATTCATAATATTAATGGATCACTCTTATTCCAGCCTCTATCCCAGACAAAGTCATTTGCATTTAAAAAACACAGAATTCTGAAAGTGTGTTCCATGGTACACTAGTACCTAGAGGGCTTCTGCAAGAAAAAGGTTCTATGGCCGTTAACTAAACAAACAAACAAACAAACAAACAAACAAACAAAAATATCAAATGCACCCTTTGGAAATATAGAAAGAAGTCAGCCTATGGAAGGCCATAAGAAGACCTGCAGATAAGAAAACTTGCATGATTTTGTTTAATACAGCATTTCCTAAACTTGCCTGACTCTCATTCCCCCTTTCTCATTTTCTTCCCAATAACATAATGCGTAGAGCTAGAGATTGGAGGAATACACTGAGAAATAGTGCCTTGATTCAAAGGAACTTACGGGAATTTGGACACTGTGTTAGGTATCACACACACATATGTAATCACAACATCAAACAGCTTGCTTGACTTACCCATGGGTACTATTCAAATGACATTAGCAAACCCTTTGGGTATTGGCCTGCCTAAAGACACTAGGTGGACTAGATACCATTGAATATCTCGAAGGAAAAATTTGCTCATATCTAAAAAAACCCAACTCTTCTTACATATGAGTTTCTAGGAACATCTAGGAATAGAAGGAAATGACTAGCATAGCAGCATTTGTTTAATGAAAAGATATCTGGGCTCAAAATGAGCTCCTAAATTGCCCTGCCCTCCCACACCCACCACACTGTATTAGTGTCTGTGGAAGTGGAAGAGTTTTCCTTCAGGGCATTTATCATTATTTGTGATCATTTGTGGTTACTTGGTTAATGCCAGTGTGCTCACCATCTTCCATATAGCCGCACACAGAACAAGCACATATTTATTAATTAAATATACTCAACAGTTTTTGGTAAAAGGACCCTGTTCTAAGATTCTACCTTTTTCTTATCATTATTGCTATTTTCTAATTTATTCCATTTCCCCCTATTCACCCATCTACTCAATAAATATTTAAAGAGTGATTTCATGGCAGGTACTTCCTTGGGTACAAAATTAATGTTAAATAACAACTTGCACATTCAGCTGGGATGGCCCAGGCAACACGATGAAATCATTTCTTTTTAATATCTTCCATTCATGTTAATTTATTCTTTCAACCATTCACATTCATTCAGGAACTCATGATTGACCACTCCATCTCCTCAATAGTGTTTGGTATCACTGACAATATGTCTTTATTATTCCTATACCTGGAAATCTGTTGGTTTCCAGGTATAGGAATAATCATTGGAAGAATATATACTCTATGTCACCCACTTTGGTTCTAATAGTGCAAGGTCTTTATCTAAGTACTAAAGGTCCAGTGCATGAAATTTGTGCACAGGTGGGTGTGTGTCCCTCAGCCCAGCCTGCACTCTCTCCAATCTGGGACATCCCTCTCACAATCCAGGACTGCTGGCTCCCAATGCTCTCCTGCCTGCCTTCTTGATTGCCCCTAACTTCCAGCCTGATTGATGCCTAACTTCTCCCCTGCCAGACTGATTGCCTCCAATTGTCCTTCTCTGCAGGCCCGGTCGCCCTTCCTCTGCCAGCCTGGTCACCCCTAACTGCCCTCCCTTGCAGGTTTGATCACCCCAACTCCCCTCCCCTGCTGGCCTGATTGCCCCCAACTGTCTTCCCTTGCAGGACTGGTCTCTCCCAACTGCCCTCCCTTATTGGCCATCTTGTGGCAGCCATCTTGTGTCCACATGGGGGCAGTCATCTTTTACCACATGGGGGCAGGCACCTTGTGTGATGGAGTGATGGTCAATTTGCATATTACTCTTTTATTAGATAGGATATTTTTAATCCTAGAAATTGTGGATTTAGTGATCTGGGTGGCAGGAATGCATGAGGGAAATAGGAAAAAGGTATCTCTATATGCCTTTGAGTATCAACACACCTTTATATGGTTCATCACTGAAGCACAGGTGGCTATGGCATTGCAGGGAGATTCTGTCTTTGGGGTACACAGACCACATGGGCCATAGGATCCCTCAGTCAAGAGCTGACTAGCCCACAACAGATTCCAGGATCTTGGCCAGCATGGAAGAGAAGTATAGGAGGGGAGTGAAAGTGTTCTCTCAGCCCAGAGTTCTGTCAAACATTCTAGCTAAAAAATGAGTGCTCCAGAAATTCCATCAAAAGGTTTCACTACACCTTCTTTTTGTTATTTAACAAAAACCATTTAAAGGTTAGATAAAGAAAGTTTAGCACAACCTAATGCTCTGCCTTAACCATTTGCATGCCATAAAGTCTATAGGTACAAGCGGCAGGACTTTTTAAATTAAATTCAAAATATTGTGGCAGTTAACTGGTTAAAGACTAATGAGATGAGTCCTTATAATAAAGGAGGCGGCATTTTATCTTTCCAAATGTTCAAAACCTTTCAATGAGACTTAAATTCACACCTAAAGGAAAGTTTTCCTTTTTAAAAAAATTGTAATCTACATTGGCATGTGTGTGTGTGCATGCGTGTGTGTGTGTGTGTGTGTGTGTGTGTGTTCTAGTATGTGTGCAACAATGCAAGAATCTAGTTGCAAAATTCTTAATGAGTGCAATGAAAATGTTTAGTTCCATATGATTGTTTTTGTTATATGTGCAAGTTCCACAAGATGGCAGTCTTTACTCATGGAGAGCAAAGTGTTAACGGCCAGCAGAGTTAACCTGTGGATTTGAAAGGCATAAAGTGTCACCTTCTTGGTGCTGTAAACACTTAACCTGTTTAGAAACAATGTTGGATATTAGACTGTGATGAACAATTGCATGTGTAAAGTCTCTTCTTGGAGTGTAGTCAGAAACATTCCTGCCATTTCCCCCTCAGAGTGGTGATAGTAATACTTATTACCTAGATTTATTTCGGTGAGAATTAATGAGTTCACAAAAGCATCTTGATCATTGCTTGGCTCTTGGGAGGCCACCCAAACTCAAAAGCTAGAATTATTACTGTCAGCACATGCGACAACAATTCTTTCTTTGGATCTGTTCTGCTACATACTTTGTTGTGTTGCTAATCCTCACCCAAGGATATTTTTTCCATTGATTTTTAGAGAAAGTGGAAGGGAGGGAAGAATAGGGAAAGAGAGAGAAATATTGATGGAAAGAGACACATTAATTGGTTGCCTCCCACATGAGCCTGACCAGGATGGGGATAGAACCTGCAACCCAGCTACATGCCTTTGACC